AATGAAAATTTCCCTATCATTCCAGTATAAAACTTTTACTATAAGAGTTTTTTCCCCTTAAATAGTTAAATTGAAAAATTGATTCTAAAAACATAAATATTTGGTATTTGTTTAAACATTTTGGATAATGCAATAAATAACTTATTTTTCTTTATACAAATAAATAGTCTTATACATAAATTGCAAATCTGTCTCAAATTTGCAGATTTAGGCAAAGAATTATACCAATTATGTGCTGCTAATGTACAATCCAAGATGGCGGTATACAGTGAAAGTACTTTAACAACTTAGAATTTTGTGAAAAAGATTCTACCTTGCAATCTGAAAGATATGTTTTACAAACAAAACCCTGTATGCTATTTGGGAAATTGTCCATAAAAAAATAAATAAGTTCAACTGCAGGTAATACCTGACAATCATATATAATATACCCTATTTCGATGGACTGAGACATGGTGAGGCAAGGAGTGTAAGTGGACATACAGAGGTAATTAATGTACCCTGATTTTTAGTTGTAGGTTCTTAGAAACCTACATAACAACCCGTAAAACAGAAAATTCATGATTAAGCAACTCTGTACCGAGGTAACAAAATCTGTATGCTACACAACACTAGTTAGACCATCATGATTGCTTGGGTATGAATGCTTAGTTTGGGACCCGCTTATCAACCTCAACATACAGAAACTAGAAGTGTGCAAAGACGATCAGACCAGTTTGTAATGAACGACTACCAAGTGGCAACAAACCAGCAGTGTAACATTAATGCTATAAACTCTACAGTGGCAACCACTAGCCGAGAGGAGGGCCAGATGTAAAGCTGTGATGATGTACAGAATAGTACATGGCCTCGTAGCAATACCAACACTAGAGCTGCATAATACATCATCAGTAGTTAGAGGACATACAGCAAGATTTCTTGTACCATATGCCAGAACATCAACAAACAGGCATTCCTTCTTCCCAGACAGCATACGGATATGGAACAGCCTTCCTTCTTCCTGGACAGCATACGAATATGGAACAGCCTTCTTTCTTACCAGACAGCAAACTGATATTGAACAGCCTTCCATAACATTTGGTTGATAGTACCTCACTAGATGCTTTCAAGCAGGAGGTACTGAGCAGAGCATCCAAGAATCGTACAATCAGACTGTTTTTAACTCGCACTTGTAAATATTTTCTTGTACCTTTGTTGTCACAACAAACAGCATGGCAATAGTGTGATAATACTCAATTAGAGGACTGCACTGTATCGGAAGAAGTGTATTCAAAAAAAAAAGTTATACAAGATAGTAAGGTTGTTAATTAAGGAAGCAACAAAGACATTGAACTAGGTGTTCAAAGAAGCATGTACCTCTCACCTAGCATGTTCGCATCAAAGTAACAGAATGCAATAAAATATTTTCGATAGTTTTTGGCTAAAAAGGGTTAAATTTCAAGGGCAATAACTCCTATAAGGAGTCAACTGATGATTTCTGTCAAGATGACTTCTTTTTAGATCTTATTTTGCTGATCATTTTGGTTATTTAAAATTTCCCTCTTAGAGTCTAACTACTATAGTTTCTGCAAAATACACAAATATGGATCAAAATCATAATTCAATGGCATTAACTCACATGAAATGTTGACTTATTAGTAGATCTTGTACAGTACTACTGATTATTAATGCCAATTAAAGTTTCTCTTTATCTATTAGGGTTACCTCAGTTGTTGAGAGCTCTAAGTACTTGAACTACTGTATCACTAGCCTGTCAACACTGATGTTGTGAGTTTGAAACCAGCATGTGGCAGGTGTGCTAGACTCCAATCTTAATTGACTAGGATTGTCAGTGATTCTGTCCAGACACTCAGGCTTCCTCCATCAATAGAAACCCACTGCCACAAAATAGTGCAACAGTGCTGAAAGTGGCTTTAAACATCAATCAATCAATCTTTATCTATTATGGTTTTCAAGATAATATCCAAAATCACAAAAAAATGGTAAAAATAATATATTTAAGAGGCAATAACTCCTATAAGCAGTCATCTGACAGTTTTGGTAAACATGGACAATAAGTAGATAGATCTCAACATTCTGAATGTTTATTACCCTGTCAAGCACTTTTATATCTATAATAGTTTACAAGATAATAGACAATGCTCGCATTTAACCTCTATGTACTATTTTCAGCCTTGTGGCCATGTTGGTTGATTGGTCATCAGACACAACTACATACCCCAAGGATGATTGTGGTTATTATAGTAAAATTTCTTATTCCAAATGTTCCAATTGGCCCCATAGTATCAAGGGAGAAGATGTTTGTAAAGGTAAGCGGACCATGAACGACAACTGAAGACTGACAACCACTGATTCCAAGTGATGAGAAAAGCTCAGCTGACTATTTGGGTCAAGTCAGCTTAAAAATCAACATCACAACAAAGAATCAAAGAAATTAAAAAACCAATGCCAACACTCTTTAAAAATACAATGAATAAGCTCAAGTGTTTCAGTTGGGTATGCAGTTCCTGATCCATTATCAACAATGTATAAATTGTATGAATACAAGTTGACCCAACCCTCTAAGTTTTAAGAATAAATACTCCCTACTTTATACAAATTTGTCCAAAATCTGTTAGAAATATAGTCTTCTCTTTACATAACCTATGTCTACATTTATCTCTGAGTTTGCATAACAAAAAATATTTTGGACAGAAAATATTTTTTTATGAAAGAGGCTTATGAAGCAACCTTTCTTTTAATAACACTGTTCCAAAAAGTCTAAGCTTGATCTTTATTATGATAAAACCTAAAGAAGGATATGTCAGCTTGGTATAAATAAGTATCAATATTAAAATAATAATTAAGTCGATCTATTCTCATATTTATGATTCATACAAAAATACATACAAAACAGGTATAATGTTTACTGCATACAACTAAAGATTGGATTTTATAGTTTAACAAAAAATATTAACAGTAAAATAAAACGAGATTTAATAAATAATAACAAAATATAGATACCTAATTCCATTAGTCCTACATCACATTCTTGTTTATATTTGTCTTTGATTACAGTATAGCATTATTTGTACATTGATATCTGGTAAATCATAAAAATGATGAGCCAAGATAAAACTTAACTGTAAAGGCCATCAGTATCTTTATAACTGATAAGACTTATCAAAATATTCTAGACAATCCTAGGTTATTGCTTGATATCAACTCTCATCATTTAATTCAAATCATAATAATAAACTCACAGAAGGTCCCTTATTATTATATTGAAATAAAATAACCACTTGATATCAAGTAATATCTAATTCTCATTTGTTATGAAACATATAGTTCATGCAATTGCTTTAGTCCTATAGACATAATAAGATTAATAGTATATGTTAACTAAACCTTAATATCTGCAAGCTAAAAACTGAGAAAAAATTATTCACATACAATTTACCAAGTCCAATGTTGGTAATTAGGTCAAAAGTAAAGCAATCTGAATACAGTAGACTCCACGTAATCGGATATCGGCTAAACGAATATATCGGCTATTGTAATATTATTTCAAAACACCAAACCCTTCCCTATATGTTTAATGATAATTTTATCGTGTAATCGAATATCGGATATAAGAATATATCGGCAAATCGGATAAGAATATTCAGTTCATTTTGTTCAAAACCATGCACAATCGGATATTTTCAATGGTTTTCTGACAGGAAATGGACCCGGAAGTTACGAATTTACAATCTTGCAGACAAGAAGATTTTGTTTTTACTAAATAAAAGGAACTATTTCTTAATAAATTGTTGTCTTTAATCATTGTCTTCCTTTGTCATGTGAATTAGATGCCCTTTTACTTCAAATGGTTTGAATTTATTTATAAAATATGCAAGGCTCAGTTGACGTTGCTGTTTGGAGAATTTTGATTAAACTCTAAATGTTCACAGAATCAGAAATATAATCTAAACTGAATGTACCTCCTTCTGAATAATTTATTGCAATATAAATATAAATCCCTTCTGACAAGAGAAATCTGACTTTTGTCAAATATATTTTTTTCACATGTGCAAAAGTAACCACATGTCATGGACGCCATTTTGGATGTTTACAAATTTGTGAGGAAGCCTCTAGAACTATGACCTAAATATAAATAGTCTTCAGAAAACGTAAACTTTATGCAATAATATTTTATCAATCATGATTATTTTCATAAATTTAAATTTGATTATTTAAAGAAATAAAATTATAACAAATACGATTTTAGTTTGGAGATTCTACACAGACATGCTTAGATCTATTTATAGCCAAATTAGTTTACCTGTGTGATAATGTAAATAATGGATATTAATTTGCTTACAAAACAAATAAAGACAAACTATGGATGGTAGATAATAATTCACATAAATATTTCAGGACATTCGATTTATTTTAATAAATAAAGGATTTAAAAACTGCAAACAAATTTAATCATTACATAATCAGCTGATAATTTTTTACACAAACATCGTGGTGATGTAACTGATAAAAATCACTCCATCAATCCTCCAGCCCTTTCACATATTTAGCAATTGTCAGGGTTAGTAACATCTCAGGATTATATCTACTCATTATTGCAGAATATTCAATGAATATACATTCATCGTCTAATTGAATATATCGGGTAATCGGATATTTTTAGCTGACATTTTGGGTATCCGATTTGCCGGAGTCTACTGTATTAAATGTGTTATTTAGGTGATTTGTAAATGATAATTTTGCAATAAAAACCAAACGTCAGCGCAATAACTTCAAAGAGAAACAACAGGGAAGAAATATGTTATTTTCCTGAAATTATATAAATTGAAAGGCAGATTTAATTAGGTAGAAGGAAATTCAACTGGAATTCATTTGAACTTAATTAATACTTACTGGTATAACAAAATATACAAACTAAAAATTAGCTAAATATCAAAATACAGAATGTCTTAAAAACATTGTTTAACCAGTTTTACCCCTATGTTCTATTTTCAGTAATGTTTTTAGTGATCAGATGGCAACATATGCTCTGAAACTACACAATCTAAAGATTATTGTGACCAAGTTGGGTTCAAAAGTCTCTGTGAATTAAGTGGAGCATTTTTTTTTTTTAAGTTTACAATCTGAGTATGAAAACAATGGATAAACAACAGATGATAAAATATCTCGCACTGATCCTTTAACACAAGCAAAATTAAAACAGTTTCATACTTTTTTTTTTTTTTGCTGGAAAAGAATATCATTAAAAGTTTAAGTAAGATTAAATTTTCCTAATAATTTGAAAGGAGTTCAAGAAGAAATGAAGAAGCTTTAAAAGCTACAACAAAGTGATGACAAAGGATGACATGTAAAACTATAATGCTGTATGTTAAACTAATATGTAGCATAGGCTAAATTGATATAAATAATGTTAACATCTGACATGAGAACTGGAAAACACAACTAGCCTTGGGGTAATACAAATTTCAAGCATAATTCTCGTACTCAGACACAAAAATCAACCAATCAAGATACTGGATTTGGTGTTTCAAGCACAAATTTTGTACTCCAAGTACTGAGTAAATTTTATGACTGAGGGCCCTGGAAATGGAAGCTACCATTACATCAATATTCCAGTTTCAATAAACCATTGCGTAACATGGGTGCAGCTATTGAAATGAAGATAGCATGCTATTGAGGCATCCATTGAAATGAAGATAGCATGCTATTGAGGCAGCCATTGAAATGAAGATAGCATGCTATTGAGAATTAAGAGTATAACTAATCCTGATCGGTTGGTGTGTGCACCTGATATTTATTATAACAAGATACCTTGTTCACTCTTCCAGTGAACAATTAATTACCTGTGACAAGACATGTATTCATATGCAAGGGAGATAACTAATATTGGGTAAAGAAAATCAACAAGAACCTATATTTTTGGGACTAAAAATATATTGGCTTATAATTTTTCTTCATTGATGACAAGATTTCATTCTGAAAATCAACTTTCTGAACTCTGTTTTTTGAAAAATGCTACTATTGTAGCCTATACTATGGGAGAAACAATTGTATTTTACAACCTCAGAACTTTTAAAACATTTAGAATTAAGAAATTAAGTTATCTCCCTTCACCTATCAAAGAATATAGGTCAGCACTGTTACCTGAGAACCATAGAGGTGCTGCTTTTTTAAACAAGCATTCTGAGAGTATTGCATGGCAATACATAGTCCCCTACCGGGTAAAAATTCATTTTACTGGAACAAAAAGCTAACTTGTTCTATAACTTGTCATGGTGTAAACAAAAAGTAGATATCATGTTAATATCTTCAAGCATGACTATAAACAGTGTGGAAAACTGTTTATACAGTGAAAAAAACATTAGATATGATTAATAGTTCTCTATAATTAGATATGATGTAATACAGTGTATATCTATTTTCAAATTATAATCAAATATAATTATTAGTTCCAAATATTTTTTCTTTCATTTGTCACAAACTAATATAGATTTGTAACTTATCTATAAAATGTCAACAACTTTTATCTACACAATGTAATGTATTGAAATATATACATTAATAAAAATAGATTATTATCTAATTAAAGGATTTTCTTCATAATTTTTTTTATATCTATAGCATTCAGAAAATTAGTTTATACTAAAAACAAACAAACCTGCCAAAAAATTCTTCAAATAATGTAACAAAGAATGTCCTTTAAAAAATGAGTTATCTCCCTTTGTACAGAAATATGGTTTAACATAGTACTCTAACATTAGATATGGTCCAGAGTTATGGTCCATAACTCTGGACTAAATCATCAGACAGGAAATTCGAACTTGAGTTATAACTAGTCATGATAAAACTATATACCAAATATCAAATCAATATCTTCAAGAACAAAGAAAAAAAGTGTGGAAAGCTGATTTGCCAGACTGACGGACAGATGGACAGACGGACAGACAGACGGAGTGCAAACCTAAAGTCCTCTTCGACTTCGTCGGTAGGGGACTAATAAAGCCTTACCAAGCACATTCTGTTGTTGTCCTTTCATTACAATATCACCTGACTTTAACAGTCAGAGATAGTCTTAGATTTCGTTTTGCAAAGTCAGATAAAATGAAACGAAAATTAATTCAAAATAACATCATTAATGATTCTTAATTAGCCATCACTAAAACGGGTCTGCACTCAATAAAGATTTTAATTTCTTTTTATAAAAATAATAACTTACTCATTAAATAATCATGTTTCAAGAACATAAAAGAAATCTTTGGAACTAACTTCTCTTATTTTTTTCCCCAAAAACTGTGACATTATAAAAATTCAAATGTGTTTAATTTAGACTATATAATGAGGTTAAAAGTGATAAACCCATCATAAATTTGAAATCGTATGCTATTACATATCTTTAAATAAAAAATGTAAAAATTTGCATAAAAAAAATGCCATGGAAGATTATGTATAAATCAGTATATTGTTGCTAAGTCCTTCCTTTCTTCTGTATATATTTTGAAGTCACATGATCATCCATTTCAAACTGGACATGACTCTCTCTGAAAAGAAAAAAAAGAGTGCTATTTAGGATTTTTCTTCGCTGTCATCAATTCTGAAATAGAATTGAATCAATATTAAACAAGACATCTACATACAAGATATGAAGTATTGTGTGCTTTCTGAAATATGAAGCTTTTATACATAGAGCTAAAGAAGCCACAGCCACCACAAATTAGCATCCTTATGTCTTGAGAGACAATTAATTATACGTGCTGAACCATGAAATGAGGTCAAGAACAAGACAAATGCCAGATAAAACCTTGGAACATAAGGCATCTGTTTTCGAGATTAAACAGATCTAGGGCTTTTACCTTCTGAAATACAAAAGAGCTAATGCCACCACTGCCAGATTAGCACTTCAATGTCTTGCATTCTATGACTTTCATCACGGATGACTTTCTTTGAAATAAGGCTAACACAAAACAAATCACCTTAAATGCTGCGAATCAGCCAATCTAAATTGATCACAAAAACAGCCTACCATTAAAATAAATTAAATCTGTAACATTACAAAGGTTTTATTCACAACAGTTGTTAGAAGCTCTCTTTTCAAGTCTTTAATAAGATATACATGTGACTTGGTAAAAAGGTTTTGTTTTGATGATCACAGTAATTCAGACTTTTGTTACTTATTAAAATCTGGAGTTGTTACAAAGACCCCCATTGGCTGGTTAAAAAATTAGACTTACCATAAAATGCATGTTCAAAGAGAGATTCATATATCTGATTACTGATGAATATAGTGGATTTTTGTGGTGACATATTACTGAATCAACACCAGGAGTTTCTGAGAAAATGGACAAAGGGATTCATCATCTATAACAAAAGCTTTTGTTTAGATACATTAGATGACAAGCCAGATACTGCTTTTAGACCCATGTAATATTTCACATCATATTATCATTTATGTTTTTTTTTATGTTTAACATTGTTATAATAAACAGCTGCGCCATGAGCGCATGATACGCCCGTCGTCTCGTGTGTGAATTTTTATGCAATAAGCATAAATAGTTTCTGACATACGGCGTGACATGCGAAAAACCCCTTTTTTTTACAAAAAACTCAATATCTCTAAAATAAAATTTTGAATCAAAACCAAAAAGTATACAGATCTTTAGATTAATATAACTAATAAGTGTGTAAAATTTTAAGCAATAATCATAAATCGTTTTTGAGATACGGCGCGACATGTGAAAACCCCACCTTTAAAAAAAAAAAAATCAATATCTCAAAAATAAAATTTTGAATCAAAACCAAAAAGTATACAGATCTTAAGATTAATATAACTAAGAAGTGTGTAAAATTTTAAGCAATAATCATAAATCGTTTTAGAGATACGACGCGACATGTGAAAAACCCCTCCCCCTTTTTTTACAAAATACTCAATAACTCAAAAATAAAATTTTGAATCATCACCAAAAAGTATACAGATCTTAAGGTTAATATAACTAAGAAGTGTGTAAAGTTTTAAGCAATAATCATAAACTGTTTTTGAGATACGGCGCGACATGTGAAAAACCCCTCCCCCTTTTCTAACAAAATACTCAATATCTCTAAAATAAAATTTTGAATCATCACCTAAGAGTATACAGATCTTAAGATTAATATAACTAAGAAGTGTGTAAAGTTTTAAGCAATAATCATAAATTGTTTTTGAGATATGGCGCGACATGTGAAAAAAAAACACACACCTGTTTTAGTTACTAAGTCCCGTAACTCAAAAAGTTTTAATCTTATTTTCACCAAAAAGTATACAGATCGTTTGACCATCATAAGAAACAAGTATTATAGTTTCATGAAATTTGGATAAGTCATTCTCAAGTTACGGTGCGACATGTTTACGCCGGACAGACAGACGGACAGACAGACGGACGGACGCCGGACATTTGTATAACATAATACATCCCGTCAAAAATTTGACGGGCGTATAAAAATCTTACTTCCAACATCTGTCACAATATAAGTCAAGGTCACAACCATGGCAACGAATGATAGCGTCTTCTGTACACATCACACAATATGGCAATTCATCATCGTCATCAACATCACTGTTGTTTTCCTCCACCTAAAGCAAGGACAGAAAGTCTAAGTAATCAATCTAAATAAAATGCTTTGCTGAGCGCAGCCAGATACGACTGCAGAGGTCGAACCCTGAACAGTTGGGGCAAGTTTGGACACAATATTCAAGCTTGATACTGTCTGAATTTGGATTGTGATCAAATTTTTGACATAATATAGGTTTTTGACACAAAATAAATGTGGTCAAAGATCTTAAAAATTTGAAATGGGACATTTAATTTACCTAGAATGGTCTGATATCTAAAATCTAACAACATGGTTAGATTCAACATATAAAAAAACACCAAAAAATTTAATTTTAGTTGAAATCAAACAAAGTTTAATTTTAGACCCTCCAAACCTTAATATGGACTAATTTGAAAACAGGGCCCAAAATAAAATATCTAAATGCACAATAATATTCAGAATATCATACAGCCGCAATAATTCAGTTTTTGATGAAATCAAACAAACTTTAATTTTGGACCCTTTTGACCTCAATGTAGACCAATTTAAAAATGGGGCCCAATATCCAAAAAAGTAATACAAGGTTAGAACACCCAAAAATTTAAGACTTTAAATTAATCCCTTTGAAACTGGTTAAAAGATTTGGTTTTATTTTCAATTGAAGATTTCTTGCTATTGCACAATACTGTGCAATTCAAGATTTCTTGCTATTGTGCAATACTGTGCAATTGAAGATTTCTTGCTATTGCTCAATACTGTGTTGTTGCCCAATACTTTGATATTGCGCAATACTGTGCAATTGAATTTCTTGCTATTGCGCAATACTGTGCAATTGAAGATTTCTTGCTATTGCCCAATACAGTGTAATTGAAGATTTATTGCTATTGCCCAATACTGTGCTATTGCTCAATACTGTGCTATTGAAGATTTCTTGCTATTGCCCAATACTGTGGTATTGAACAATACTGTGCTATTGCGCAATACTGTGCAATTGAAGATTTCTTGCTATTGCCCAATACAGTGTAATTGAAGATTTCTTGCTATTGCGCAATACTGTGCTATTGCTCAATACTGTGCTATTGAAGATTTCTTGCTATTGCCCAATACTGTGGTATTGAACAATACTGTGCTATTGCGCAATACTGTGCAATTGAAGATTTCTTGCTATTGCCCAATACTGTGGTATTGAATAATACTGTGCTATTGCGCAATACTGTGCTATTGCGCAATACTGTGCAATTGAAGATTTCTTGCTATTGCCCAATACTGTGGTATTGAACAATACTGTGCTATTGTGCAATACTGTGCAATTGAAGATTTCTTGCTATTGCGCAATACTGTGCAATCATTTGAAATTACAAAAATTTTGAAGAAAAAAAATATGAACCCCCAAAAAAAATTGGAAAAAAAAATCCCCCAAACTTTTTGAACCCCCTCCCCCTTGGAGTAATTACCCCCAAATTAATCGCTGTCTTCCCTTTGTCGTATGGAATCTTGTAGTACAATTTTAAAAAGATCCATACACTTAAACACAAGTTACTGTCTGGAAACTAGAAAAATGCTTGTTTTTGGCCCCTTTTTTGCCCCTAATTCCTGAAGCGTTGGGGCAATTACCCCCAAACTCAATCCCAGTCTTCCCTTTGTTATATGGAACCTTGTGGTACAATTTCAGAGAGATCCATACACTTAAACACAAGTTATTGTCTGGAAACTAGATAAATGCTTGTTTTTGGACCTTAATTTCTAAACTGTTGGTACCATAACCCCCAAAATCAATCTCAACCTTTCTTTTGTGGTATTGAACCTTCTGGTAAAATTGCTTAGAGATCCATTCACTTAAACTAAAGTTATTGTCTGGAAACCAAATGTGTCTTCGGACGATGCCGAGGCAGACAACGTCAACACCATAGCATTATACGATGCAAAGAATTTTTTACGGTCGTATAAAAATGTGTGTGAAAGTCTGAAAAGCCATCCCAACACAGGTATAAATGATTTTAACTAGACATCATTTAGCTGGGAGCCATCTCTGTGGGCCCGCTGTAAATAACGTGTGGTAAAAAATTTGTATCGATAAGCTAATGTGAAGTTTTTGACCTTGAACTTTGACCTAGGAAGTTGTACAAACATTATGACACACCCTCTGGTGTTGGTTAATATACATGTCAAGTATAAAGTATGAAATTATAAAGGTTCTCTAGATATAGAGCGGACACAATTTGTTACGGACGGACGGACAGACTGATCACTAAATAATAAACTAAAGTCAGCTTGGTGTAGTTTTGGTACAGAAACATTGATGTACTATAGAACAGAAATTAGTAGTCATATAACACTGGCATGTACTGCTGAACCTTGCTGGCTATAACATATCATTTTTAAGAAAAAAGGGAATTTTGAGTGAAATTACTGAATGTTTAGGCAATATCTACATGCATTTTATAAATCTATGTCTATCAGATATTCAATTAAATTTGCCTATAAAGGTAAAAAAAAAACCTACATAATTGAAATCATAACATTTTTTGTCAATGTACAAATGCAGTTTCAATAGCTTTTGTTATAGGCAATAGACTATTTTCATATTACCGACTTTTGACTCCGGATTATATAATTTGTCGACTGGTTACCTTGGACATCATGGTACTCAGTCAAGTAAGAGCAACCAAAATAAGTAAAATCAAACATATAATTGGTGTAATTTGAGGGGAAAGTTTACTGTTTTCCGATGATTTTGTAGTGAAAAAAAAATGTTAAGCAGGTAATTTTCCCCTAAAATTGTACCGATTGAACGCTTGGTTTTACTTCTTTAGCTTGCTCTTACCTGACTTGGTACCATGATGTCCAAGGTAACCAGTCGACAAATTATATAATCCGGAGTCAAAAGTCGGTTATGGAAATAGTCTATTTTTGGTTAAAATCCAAAAGATGGCCTATTACTTACCCCTCACTTTGATACATTCTCTACAATCAATCTAAAGAAATTGTTAAAATATGATTTCATTTCTGGTTCAAAATTAGAAACAATTTATGGTGAAAAAATCTTATATGTGTATAGTATTATTCAAAGTTTTCTGTCAACCCCTGGTGCTATTTACATTAAACTAAAGGTAATACAATACAAGAAACAGCCATATTTTATATTGAATTTACCCTTTGTTTTTTTGGTTCTGTATTCAGTACTTTCTTTGATTTCTTGTTGCTCTTTGATTTTTCTTTACTTTTCTTTGAATCCTTTGAAGATATTTTACTTTTTTCTTCCTTCAAAGAGTTTGTCTCTGAAGTGTCTACTCCATCTTTAGCTGCTGCTTCGTCTAATTTATTTTCTTCTAAAATCTGAAAATAAAAATGGGTTATCCATCAAACTTTTAAATAGAATCAGCTTTTAGCTTAGTGTTAAGAATTTTTTTACATGCAAGATCATACCCTTAAGTTTTTTTCAGTGCTTTTATATACTGCAAATTATAAGTTCCTTGTAAAATACTGATTTTTAAACATAATCAATCCATTAAATAGTTTCTGTACATACTTGTTTAATGAGATTCTTAGTCAGCGTTTCCTCATTCTCATTGTCACTATCAGATATTTCGTCAGCACTCTTTTCATCAGTATCTGTTAAAGAAAGTATTTATTTCATTGAATCGCTCTTACTATACAACAAAGTCTGGTGTATAATTCATTAATGTTTTATACCAGATGAATGATATTTTCTTCAGAAAGTAGCAGAGGACATTGCTCTGTAATCTTATCAATTGACTTCTTTTTAATTGTCCAATTACAGAAACAGTGTACCTGTCAAATAAGTTTTTGATTTCACTACACTTCCACTTAGCAGCACAATTCAGTTCATATTCTGCAGATAAAGATTTAAGTCTGGAGAACAATTTGGGTACAGGATTGACTTGACCTTTTGGGCCAAACCGTGAAAGCCTTTAGCCATATCCTCTGAACAAAGAACTGTGGTTTCAAAGACATGTGTTTAATTGCTTGGAATTCAGGTGGTAACCATTATTCAAATTATGATAATAACAACAGTAAACAATGTCTTCATTAAAGTTAGTCTTAAGGTCCTTTGGTCAAATAATTCATAAACATTAGAGTTAACCCTTGATTATGGACTCAACTGCCTTATGAGCTTGAAATCTTAAAAGTCCACCTCTAATTTCATCTCAGTAGCCTAAAAATTGTATTTGTGAATGTTTGGGTTCCAAAATACTGCCAAATGAGAATTATAATTATTGTCCATTGTTTAATTTTGTACCTTTATTCACATCCTCTTTCTTTCTATTCTTCACTGCCTGTAGTCTTTTCATGATCTCTTTGTCTTTCTGTAGATCTTCTAATGCTTTTTGTGCATCAACATCTAACTCTTTTGATGCCTCTGCTATTAATCTCTGCATTTCTTCTAATGGAATCTCATCATTTGTTCGTTTGTCTGTTGTTTGTGTATTTGTTTTGTTATTGACGTCTATGTTTTTTGTAAATGGCACAGTTTCTTGTGAGTCTTCTCTGTTTAGATTGTTACTGGATTTTTCAGATTCTCTGTGACTTGGTTTGTCAGACTCTGTAAATTACCCAATATTATACTAGAGAACAAGTTGAACTGTGAGCTATTGCACAAAAATGATACACCAGGGCCACTATTAGTATTTGTTAAATAGGAAGTTGAAGAGCCATGGATGTGGAAATGCAACACAAGGTATAGCATACTCCCATAAATGTTGATACAAAAATTTGGGGTACTCTGATTCCCAGTTCCTTAGAAATGTGACTAAAATTTCATGCATGGTTACTGTTAGTGTTTTCGGTAAACAGAAGTTGATGAGAAATAAATGTGAATATGCCTTATACAGTAAAACATGAAGTCTGGTAACAAATTTTAGAAAAACTGTGATTTGTAGTTTTTGACAAAAAAAAATTCTGGAAATTTTATGGGACAGACAGATGGATGGATGGATGGACAGGGGTAATATAATTTACCCCTCCTTTGAGGAAGGTTATAATTCTAAAGAAACTACTGTGGATTCATTTATTTTCGTTGATATCAATTTTCGTTGATTGAGGAAAACTTGCATTTTCCTGGATATTTGATTTCATGGTTTTGCCAATGTCTACGTACAAGGCAATAGAAAATTTGTAATTCATTGAACATTTAAATTCGTGGTTCACCTGTTCCCATGAAACCCACGAAAATTGGTATCCAACAAATAATAATGAATCTACAGTACATAGATTTGAATCTCCAGTGTAATGCAGGTTGCAGTATAAAATATACTTTTCATCATTGTTTAAGAATAATATTGTCTTGCTGCATTTTTCTGTTTATTTCTTATAACTTATAAGGCTGAACTTTTTCTTATATATCCTATGTCCTGATTTGTAATATGAATTTGGAATCATTACAATAACAAAACCATTTAACAAAAAAAGTAGTCTGTATACCTGGATTTCCTCTCAGACCAGCAAGTCTATTTTCAATGTCCTTTACAGGGTCAGGTCTATGTGAATCTATTTCAATTTCCTCCCCAATTTCATCCAATAAGTCATTAATCTGATCCTGTTGAGTTCTTCTGTCTGGAGCCTGGTATGCCTAAAGGAAAAGAAAATTGTTTGTTTAAGAGCTTAAGATGACCAAGCCTTATATATGATACAACATGATTATCTCCTCTTTCTCAAAAATTTAAATTAAGTTCTTTGTTGTTTTTTTTGGAGGGAGGTTGGAAGTTTCATTAACATGTATAAAAGAACATATTGTACATATACTGTTACTCAATACATATTTAGTTGCCCTGAATGCAATGCTGTATTCATCAATTTAGTGATTGTCTTTGGTTGCTGTCTACCTTATAGCTTACTATACAGTATGGGCTTTGTAACTTTGTTCATTGTTGAAGGCTGTACAGTGCCCTATAGTTATTTACATCCTCTTCCTTTGGTGTCTAGTGGATAGCTGTATCATTGAAAATCATACAAATTGTCCTCATTATATATGTGAACAACTGTAAGTCACAATACAGCGATTGAATAAACAATGATATCAAGAAAACTAAGGAATAATCTTCAACTTTTTAAGAAGGTAGAAATTGAATGTAATAAGCAGCATTAAGAAAATATTTAAAGCAATATGGACACAAGCAAGGATGACACATCATTGTTATCTTACACATTTCTTGTCAAAATACCTTTTTGCATGTTCTGATTTCTTCATTACTAACCAGTAAAGTTACAAAAATACTGCATTTTCCCCTGAATAGAACACATTTAATCATAATTTTATAATATTTTTCTACAATTGACAGCAATCATTGGTTTGACCTTTGCAATTAAGTGAACTTAATGGAGTCCAGAGTTATAATGACTCTTTACACTTATATCATCTTACTGGTTTCTTTGTAGCTACTGTTGCGGCTGCAGTTTCTCCTCTTAACTTTGAAAGTCTTTCTTCTATTTCTTTTTGTGATGGACTGTTTTTTTCTGAAATAACGATTTTTTTTCTTTAAATGACTTCAATATAGTAAAAAGAGGGGCCATTATCAAAATTTAATTAAATCTTACTTTCATGTAAATCAAGCATTAAAAGAAATGTCTTGATATTAAAATCAAAACATTCAAGAGAACTGAATGGTATTGAATCACACAGAAACAATCATTTGCACAGTTTGTAATTGCAATGGCAACTCAATTTTCTCAAATGAATTGTCAGAACTTTAGAATACAGCCTATATGCATATATGTATGTTTAAGACTGAAGAAAAAAAAAGAAAGAAGAAAGCATATTGATTTATTTTGATTTCAAATATTCTTTGTTGGTTTTTTTTTTTTAAAGTTAAAATAAAAAACACTGCGACCTTAAGCAAAGGTGAAGGGTCCTGCAGACTTCAATATTTGTCCTATTAGCATAAACTAATGCATAGCTATAACTTGAGAACAATTCTAAGATCATCTGTCTACATTTATTTCTTGCAATAACTTGAAATAATTTGAGCACATATATATATTATGTAACTATACCAATATATTTTGGCAAAATTATGGTTCTAATGAGTAATTTCATAAACTGCTTAATACCTTTTTGTATTCTATCTTCCTTTAATTTATCTAATCTTTCCTGTATTTCCCTCTCAGGTTTTGCAAGGTGTTTATATTCTGGTTTGCCAGTTGGTTTTGTATGATGCGTCTTACTACCATGACTGCCTCCACCCTTTTCTCTCTCTTCTAATGCTGCTACACGCCTAAACAGAGATCAATTTAAAATCTTTAATAGTCAATTCAATATAACATAAAAAATAAAAACCTGTATGATGAACTACGTATTTACCTAAGCATTTCCTAATATAGGATTTACAATATTCTTTTCCAGCTAGCTGATCCAGCTATTTCAGAGATATCTTTTTTTTTTATTTTACATTGAATTGTAAGAGGAATTTTGAGGCTTTATGGTATGACCAATGCTCCATTATAATAAAATTAACAGTTATCTCCCCTCAACAAAAACAGATTTTCAATTTCTTATTGAAAACTGGACTATGTAGTTTTGAGCATTGTTTAAAATTAGACTACAAGACTCTCTACAACAATTTTTGAATGCTACAGTTTACAAACAAAAACATTAAAAAAGAATTTACTAAAAAAGGGGGCTCTGTAAAGAAAATGTCAAAGAAACAAAATAAAAAAAATCAATAAAAATCAGTTAAAAATTTAACCTCTCAAATTTCAATAAGTGAAAATACCAAATGCTGCTGCTATGAGCCCATTGTTTTAAAATGGAAATGACCATCTTCTCATAAATTAATTTTAAACATTCTTTTGTTCCAATGATCATTGTGTTAAAATTTCTAAAAAAAAGTGATTGATTGGTGTTTAATGCCACTTTCAGCACTATTGGCTTTTTCATGGTGGTCAGCTTTTATTGGTGGAGGAAGCCGGAGTGCCAATAGAGAACCACTGACCTTCAGTAGAAAAACAGACAATCCTAGTCAATTAAGATTGGAGTCAAGCCCAGTGATTCGAACTCACAGCTTCAGTGTAGATAGGGTAGTGATACAGCCTATAGTATAAGTTGGCCTACTTATATCACTAGGGCAATGAAGATGTTGACAATAATACTATACCATGATTGCAAAACTGTTAGGAAGGCATGTAAAAAATTATATAGCCATAACTGATGGGATAAGGCCTTGCAACTGGAATAAAAGGTTAATTATGTAGAAAATCCAACATTTTCATCCTGTTACTCAAACTCACTTTTTGTAAGCCTCCGGAGGAGAGTATCTTCCAGAATCATCCTGGGGTTTTATTTTTCTACAAATAAAAATACATGGTACAGTCTATTTTTTAAAACAAGAAATTGTATGTCATCTTTATTTTTGTTCTTCTCTTTGTGAATGAGAAGTTGGGAAGCAGAGAGATTCGTAACATTCTGCTAGATTTTTCATTATGACAAAACCATAAAGAATTACAGATCTATTGCATATGTTTTCATATGGGTATGATTCTTTTGTTTTGCTTTAAAAATAAGTATCAATGCCTCAGTATAGAATTTTGATGGATTTATCATTGTTCAAATATGTCTTCAAATATACAGCTTTTTGAGTGTTTTTTCAAACTGAAATTGAGACCAAACTTTGTCCTTCAATGCTAACATAGGACAACACTATTTATGTTCATAAAATATAGGATAAAACAAGAATACGGTATGTGTCCATAGGGCACAATGCAAAATGACTGAAACTTTCAGTTGACTCCCTGTAGAAATTGTTGCCAATGACTATTTCTTTACATAATACATTAGCTTTTCTTCCTACTATTTTGAAATCTATTATAGATGGACAGAAATTGTAAACAGCAAAAATTATAGCAATTAAGTTTTGCAAAAATTGCATAATGCTTAAAACCATCAGTACACTCCTTAAATATAATTGGAGATAATCTTGTACATATCCTTGATAATTGGAGATAAGTTTCTATATTTGTTTCTCATTTTTTGTAATGGAAATTTTATAGTTTTATTTATGTTTCAGTACATCATGTTGGGTGACAGTATGCTGTAATGCCCAAATGTCAAAGAAAAATATATTACTCTGCTTAAACTTCAGGCCTTTGTATATCCATAACATATTCTGTTTTACTCAATCAACAGTTCTGTTTATAAAATAAATACTTTCCATCGGTTCCTATGTACAAGTACATGTACCTTAAAATTCAACAATACAAATGTATATAGGAAAATCCACAAACCCTGTTAAGATGTTATAACACTTGTTGCACACATGGTGTTTTTCATTCTTCAGTTTAGGAACAGCTATCTTCTTGTTTAGACAAGAATTACAGAAAGCAAATCCACAGTTTTTACAGCCATGCTGGAATTTATATGAAAGAATAAATTTTCATTGATAATTACTTATAAGTTGTAAACTGCTCTTATACATATATGTAAAAAAAATTAACTCTACAGAAATTGCTTTGTAAGTTTCAAAACTAAAACTGAGCAGTTAATGAAACTTCTTCCTCACTGTGGATTATCATAATGGACCAGTAAACTAGTTGAAAGTTTTGTCATCACATCAAGTTACCAACAGCCTGCTTTTTTCAATGTCAGTCTGTTCATGTCCATAACCAGATGCATCAAAATACCAAAAGACTTTCTTACCAAGAAATGGCCATATAATCAACCTGACACCTTTCAATCCCTTTTACCAGCATTTCTTATCATGTCAAATAAGCTAGGAAAATTTGCTTTAAAATATCACTTTCCATTCAAAATTAATTTTACTTAATATGTTATTACATTACTGATTCTCAGTTGCTTTGCTCAATTCCGTGCATTTATTTTAAATACTTAATTATATGTGGCGATTTTTAATGATAATTATACAAAATGACCAATTTCTGTCTTTCACTTCACTGACCAAAAAAATGTAAAAAACAAGTAAAAATGATATAGGTGCCAAACTGACTCACCAAATTTATGCCGAAATGACTTTGAATAGGCACCGATTTGACCAGGTGCCAATTTGACTTTTTCTGAAGGTGCTGAATTGACTAAGTACAGATTTTATTTGTAAAGGGATTTAGGGCAAAATGTAGCTGTGAAACACAACTTCTTAAATTAAATTGTTTTGTTTTAAATTATGAGTGAACTGTCCTTGTTTACCTCTGGTAATTTGGGAGAAAAGGCATGGTTGTCATTGGTTCACTTTGGTGGATAGTTGACTCATTGGCAATCATACATCTCCTTATTTTTATATATTTTTTGGGGTCTCACAAAAGACCCAAACCATTTTTTGGGTCCCACAAAAAAACCCAAATCTTTTCCTTGTTCCACAGGCAATCAACAACATCAGATTCACCAAAACACTACAGTTTCAAAACTTTTTAAATTTTTTAATTCAAGCATCACTGATGTCAACAACATTTAATCTTGGTACATGTATCTATGATGAGTTTTATATACAAGATCTTTCAACTGGTGTATTTTCCCTGAAAATTTGACCTCAAAAAGCAAATATCTTCACTTCAAAATGTCCCATGACACATTTTCCCCTGAATGACCCCATTTCAACAGGGGCAATTAATTCATAAAATCGAAATTGGAGTTTCGTGTTTCTAGCACGAGAACAGACTACTGCAAAAATAGTTTTTTCTCCAATACTTTTGACTTATATCATTTTCATTACCAGAAATACTCTTTTAATAGACGCTGATTCTCACGTCATTTAAACGTTTTATGGGCTAACTGGATCCCTGCATCTTTGAACTGATAAAGTAATTGTGACTGCTTGACATTTTTCAAACACCTGTATTTATCTTATGTACATAATCCAACCCTGCCTAAAGAAATATAATAATTTTATCATTTAAAAACAGTTATTGAGGCAGTCATGAGGAAGTTATCCCCATTGGAATATTCATCCCTTAGCTTAACATACTGACGTATATTTTATGCTCAACAACAAACAAATGACGTCAAATAACGTCAACCTAAAACCAAACACTTTGACTTCTTCTTTGTCGTTCAGCACTCCATCAACATACTGATGATATCGTGCCGGGCACTGATGTCACTATGCCGCGCATGCGTGGGATATATAATTTCTATATTTACAGTTAAATATATACAAATAAAAGTTCAAAGTAATTTTCTTTTTCTTCTGTTTTGTACTATACATTTTGGTTAAAACTACATACATCGTAATATTAATTTAAATGTATAGATGTTTGCTGAGAACAGATATTGGGATCTGTTCTCGGAAGCAGTCTAGTGTAGTACATTTTACTGCAGCTACAGGTAGAAGGTTCCATTGTAATATTGTTCTAGGATAAAATGAGTACTTGTATGAGTCTTTAGATGTTTGTATTGGTCTGTATGAATGATTGTGTGGATTTTGTCTTGTTCTTGTGTCAGATTGGATGAGCAAGTCTGTTGGATAAATAGCTACAAGATGGTGTATTATTTTATAGAAAAAGATGATGCGTGTTCTTATTCGCCTTTTTCTAGGGTTGTCCAGTTTAGAGTTTGTAGCATTTCATTGAAGGAGCTGGTGTTATGGTATCTGTTGCAAGTGTACCTAGCTGCCCTGCACTGGACCATTTCAAGTTGGTGTGTTTGAGATTTGGTATGAGGGTCCCAGACGCAGCTACTGTATTCAAGCTTAGGTCTGACCAGTGATGTATATGCTCTTTCTTTTACTGTTTTGGAATTGACTTTTAGATTTCTCTTGATAAAGTTTAGCTTTTGTGTGGCTGAAGCTGTAATATTATTTTAATATGTTTGTTCCATTTTAGGTCTGTTTGTATTGTTACGCCAAGATATTTTGTGGATTTTTCTTTTTGCAGTATATGATGGTGGAGAGTGTAATCAAAATTTTGGGGTTTTCTTTGTTGTTATCTGAAGGATTGAGCACTTGTCTGGATGGAATGACATGAGCCAGTCCTTCTCCCATTTTGCTGCTGATGTTAGATCTTCTTGCAGTTTTTGAGTGTCTTCTTTGTTTCTTATTGTTTTATAAATTATGCTGTCATCTGCAAATAATCGTAAGGTGCTGTGTTTCATATATTCATGGAAGTCATTTATGTGCACAAGGAACAGGAAAGGACCCAAAACTGTGCCTTGAGGAACGCCAGATGTTACATTTATTTTGTCAGACTGTACACCATCAATAATGACTGTTTGTGTACGGGATGTAAGGAAATCTTCTATCCATTTTAAGGTGTTGTATTCAATGCCGTAATATTTTAGTTTAGAGAGAAGTCTTTTGTGAGGAACTTTGTCAAATGCTTTGGCAAAGTCCATCACAATTATGTCAGTTTGGATGTTATTGTCGTTGTTTTTTGCAAGTTCTTGTATGAATGATACCAACAGAGTTTCACATGATCTTGATGCTCGAAATCCATGTTGAAGGTCGTATAAGATGTTATTATTTTCTAGATGATCCATCATACTACTGGCTATAATATGTTCCATGATTTTACAGAGTATGCAGGTGAGTGAAATAGGTCTGTAATTTATTGCGTTGTGTTTATCACCTTTTTTGAATACGGGACAAACATTTGCGTGTTTCCAATCGTCTGGGATTTTTCCTGTGTCTAGTGATTTCTGAAATATGTATGTTATTGCGGTTGAGATGTCATTACTTAGCTCTTTTAGTACTTTTCCGCAGATTTGGTCTGGGCCAGTTGCTTTATTTGGGTTAATCTTGTTCAATAATTTTATGACACCGTTTTTGGAAATAGTGATGTTTTTCATATTTGGATATGATGATTTCCCCTTATCCGGTATGGGCTCACTTGATGTTTCTTCGGAGAATGCCTTTTGAAACTGACTGTTTAAGATGTTAGCTTTTTCTGATGTGATGTCTGTTAGTTTGCCATCTTTTCTTAGTGCAGAGATACCTGTGTTGTCATTTTTCATGCTTTTAATGTATGTATACAAGTTCTTTGGTTGTTTTTGTCTGATGTTGTTATCTGGTTCTTCTACTGGTAGGTCAAATATCATTTTTTCAATGTAGTTCCAGTAGGCATTACGCATATCTCGTTGTAATGTTCTTTTCAGGTTTTTATATTTTTTCATTTGTTCTGGACCATTTTTGCTCTTTTTATGTAGTCTTTTAACTTTATTTATCATAATTTTTAATTTGTTATCAACCCAGGGTAGTTTTTTCTTGTTTGTGATTGTCTTCTAGGGAATGTTTTTCTTGACTGATGTAAGTAGTATGTCAGTGAATGTTTTCCAGAGGTCATAAGTGGATGAACTATGGTAATGACCTTTAATATCTTGTGTTAGTTTATTCACGTCTTCCTTGATGTTTTCCCAGTTAGCTTTTTTATACTGGTTTGTTTTTCGGGTTATTTTCTTTGTTTCCTTACAAAGTTAGTGCACATTCTGCATAGACGATATTGTGGTCTGCATTTCCAATAGGGGGCATAGTTTCCACTTTGTTTACTATGCTTGGTATGTTTGTTAGTATGAGATCAAGTGTTCTGTCTCCCCTTGTGACTTAAGGTAAGGATTGGAATCAAGTATATTCACAATTGTTTAGTGGAACACACTTCTACAACAAATTTTCACCCATACCTCTTTTGGTTATTTTGACACACTGATATAAAGTCAACGACAAGTATCGTCAGTATCCTGAGATTTTATTGTACGACTGAAGAAGACAAAGTTGTTTATGAAATCTAGATGTATATAAGTTTTTTATGTTTTATAATACCTCTTTTTTAAATAAACTGAATGAAGTTCCGCATCCATAACACGACATTCTGATTCTAAATTCTTTTTTCTCTGTGGGTTTTGTATTTTATCTACATGACAGTACGTATCATTTGTGAAGAAATGAAAAAATAGCCAATAATCACATGAAATTTCGTCAAATACTAATAACAGGGCGACAACTCTATCGTGTACTCTAAATTTGGAATGCATACCGGTATAGCAATCAATTAATTCCGAAAAAAACTTAGTCTTCGTCAGTCTGGTCACGACAATGAGTCTAATAAAGCTACGAAAATTAGGTCTGGAAAATTCCCAATGATTTATGATAGCTACTAACTAACAAAAGAGTAATTTTCCATGATTATTTATTAATTATACAGCAAAAAAGAATAACTATTTGTATACTGCTATTCTTTATCAACTGTGTCAGAGACATTGTATTATATGTCTCTGACTATGTCTTATCACACTATATCTTACAACACCGTGTCAAAAACATCAATAACACCAGAGACATGTATAGTGTAATATATATGTCTCTGATGACACCAATAAAAGTTATGTCAGAAGGCTATTTAAGTCGCATTCATTATGAAGTCTCTTCTTTTGGCTGTGAGTATATAGGTCATATAGTATGGTGGCATAACCTGGGACTAATACCTTTTATGGCATTTGGTCCCCAGGAAAAACGAAAAATCCATGCATTCGGATATTTTTTATACCGTTTGCAAAAACTTGTAGTCACATATGATTGCAGACTTTAAAAATATACATGTATCATATAAACAGAGACATATGATACAACTGTATGTCTCCGAGTTGTATCTGAGACTACTATAACACATGTGTTATAGCAGTCTCAGGTTGTATGCAGTGTAGACCACCGATCAACAACTACTAGTATGTCATATTTTCAAACAACAGAGTTTCGAGAACTCGTATCTAACTGAATTTCTATCGCTTAAGCCCAATCTCGGCTTTTATGTGACAATTTTTGTTATATCTATTTCATAACATTTGATTGTATCTCTGAAACTGATATTACTATGTGTTATAATAATCTCAATCTGAAAGAATAATTGCTGCAGATATCAAATTTTCGATATTTATTTGTAGCTCAGAGTTCTAGATGACCATATTTCTATACCCCAGCCAATCCTTGGGGTTTGACTGTATATTTATCAAAGACCCAAATAGGGATATGTGAATAATAACAAACTAAATAATATTCATAATAACACACAAAGTAAAGCAATGAATGTTATGAACCTTCAATGAAAAATGAAAAATGAAAACAGCACTTTATAAATTTCATTAGTCCGAAGCGCTTTTCTGGATTTACCTTCATCAGGAACGCTCAATGCTAGATATTTGAAAGCCAAGGATGTTGTTTTGTAATTTTATTATAGATCAATATGTGACACTTAAATAAACTATTATTTAGTCTTATCTTATATCTATACGACCAAAAAGGACCTAAAATAATAGCCAACTCATCTAATGTCAATTTTGCCTTAGGAAGTTGAAACCTTGGTTTCTTTTTTCTGAATTTAAAATTTTTTTTTTTATAAATAACGTATATCAGCTACAAGAAGCAATATGTTTTCAGGAAAACGGTCAAATTGACATGGACATATATATGTTTGAAATAGTATAAGTTAACAACTGCTAGTAAAATATTACAAAACTTGGCAATTGAAAAAAAACATTGAAGGAGTCAGAATTAAATAACTCATTAAAAAATTTCAGTATTATGTTTGGTAATGAGATTACCAGGTAATAATGTCAAAGACTAGTGATACACATACTACAGTGATCATAACTTCCTTGATTCTGATGTAGGTCGTTGTACTTTCATGTAGACATTCATAGATACAAGGAAGTTTGGCTATTTCTGCAGAAAACTTATTACAAAGGGATTACACATCCCAATCTTTACTCTGAATTTTTACAGTGATGTTGTTTATCGAGCCCGAGTAAACTTGTAAATCCTTTAAATAAACTTATTCTAAACGGTTGACAATTTAACACTTTAATTAAATGTTCGAATATTGTTGTTATCAGTATAAATATTGATTTTGTTATCAAAAGATTAAAACCCAACTAAATATTATTGCTATGCACTAACATTAACGCTCCTATAATCTGTGCCACAATCTGCCGATACCTCTATTTTGGCATTGCACACGATAACTTTTTTCTCTGACTGTTGATGACGTCTTTACACTGAATCCATCGAATGTTAGATGTGTATATATGTATACTGATTGATATTTTAGTCCTAGAAACATGGTTTTGTATCAGTTGGTATTGGCTTTGAACTAGTGTTAAGTAACTGCGAGTACTCCCAAGTCTGTGCTGTGTGTCTTTAGTGTTTTTGTTAGTGGTTTTTGTGGTTTGTATCGATCTGACGAGTTAAATAGGCCCTTTTTAACTGATTTTAATAGTTTGTTCTTATGTTGTACTGTTACACAACTGTCCAAGGTTAGAGTAGGGTTGGGCGCCCGCAAACATGTTTAACCCGGTCACATTATATATGTGCCTGTCGGCGTAAGTCAGGAACCTGTAGTTGTCGTTTGTTGCTGTATATCCCGTTTTTATCTCGTTTATTTTTTTATACATAAATCAGGCCCTTTAGTTTTCTCATCTGAATAGTTGTATACATTTGTCATTATGAAACCTTTTATACTTTGATATGCAGCATGGGTTTTGCTCATTGTGGAAGGCCGTTTGGTGACCTATATTTGCTAACTACTACGTTATTTGGTCTCTGCTGGATCTTATTGGCAATCATACCACATCTTCTTATTTTAATATATAAGAGTAAACACAGCTGCAACGTCATCAACAGTTCGCTCGATTTTCTTTCTATTCTAAGCAATTTAGGACAAATTTTGTTTTCGAAATTTGCATAGTCTCTGATCTCTATGGATCTTTTTCAATCATTTTGACTTTTGTTCTTAATTTTTTTAAATCAGAATAAGTTCGATTTAGGTAAAATTCTCTGTTTAAATAAATCTTTATTGGTTTTTTAAATTGATTTTGTTGCTTTTATTCAAATTATTTATTTTTTCTTTGTTAACGTTTTAAAATATCCATTACAGCATAGTTTAATAGCATTTTTTTTATTACTTACATCAAGATGTCGTTAAAAGAAATTGGATACCCTGTATTATCATTCTTTTTAATAACATATTAACGTAAATTGTTTTATTATAAATTAGGCCGTTAGTTTTTCTCAATTGAATTGTTTCATATTTTTCATGCTGGGGCCTGTTATAGCCGACTATACGGTATGGGTTTTTTTTTTCTGATTGTTGAAGGCCGTACGGTTGCCTATAATTGCTTACATTCGCTTCATTTGAACTTTGGTGGGTAGTTGTCTCATTGACAATCATACCACATCTCCTTATTTTTATATGATAAAATCGATGAAAAAAAAACCTCCTCAATTATTGTAAACTATCATTCTGCATTGCCAATAATAGCTTGGTGTAAATTAGATACGCCCATTCGGGCTCACTCCCTCAAGGTGTATCTAATACTTATATATCTAACTCTGTGATCTGACAAGACAAGACAAGACAATGTGTATACAATGGTTTTAAAGAATAAAATTGTCTTGTCAACAAGTTTGTGATTTTGAATTTTTAATCCAGATAAAATATCAGTAAGCTATGTTTACCAGGTGTATATATATTCCTTTATTTATGGGTGCGAACGTTCTTGGTGAAGGTAATCAAGAAAACCGCTTTGGACGCACCAAATGTATAAGTGTCATTCTAACTAAGTAGAATTAGTCGATACGCTGTTGGTGGACTGTTAGTCCCATATGTATCATAGTTGGTCACCTTAGATTGTTTTTGTCTTTTTTAAGATCCCTTTTAGTCATATTGCGTCTAAATTATTTATACATAATTGGCATTCAACTTGTTTGGTGTTAGCGTTCTTGGTGATGGTTAATCTAGAAAAGTGCAAATAGACTCTCAAATTTATAAACTTCAATAAACAGTTAAAGCAACAGATTCAGCCATTTGACTTAATTGTAGATCTTGTATTGCTGACCATTGTTGTGGTTTACAGTTTCTTTATTTTTCTGTAATAGTTTACAAGACAATAGAGATGTGATGTTGGTAAAAGAAAGTTTACATTTAACGGCGATATCTCCTTTCAGAACCAATTGATAGTTTCAATCACATTGGTATTTCTAGGCATCTTGTTTTGTTGGTTCTTTTGCTGTTTATGGATTATATCTATCTATATTATGTATCAAAATATAGCAAAAACGTTTAAATTTGTCAAAAACCGGCGTTTAATAAGAACAGTTATCAGCCTACAAGGAGGCAATTAATCACTTGGTATTTTATTATAGATCTTGTATTGCTGACCATTTTTCTGTAAAAAGTTTCTCTCTATCTAAAACAGTTCTCAAGTAAATATGCATATATGTTTAAAATTGATTAGAAATCGTTCTATAGGGGCAATAATTCGTATAAGTAGTCAAGTGATGGTTTAAGTCCTTCGAGCTTTTTTTAACAAATTTTGTATATAGATAACCCCTGCATGTAAGGAGTTAAATTAATGGTGTAACTGAATGGGTGATCATTTTTGCTGTTTACATTTTCTGTCTATGTATGAAAGTTTTCAAGATAATAGAAAAAGCCTCTACAATTGGTAGGACAAAGTCGTCGTTTAAGAGCAACTAATACTATATATATACGTCTGACTAGTTTGGAAGAAATTGAGGGTCCATAGACATTGACATGAACATTTCGACATGTCAGATTTTCTATATCAATTGTGATTTCATAATATAAGACAATTACGGACGTCTTATTTTTAGCGGCCACCTGTAAACAGACTTATTCAGAAGGGATATAGTTACGATACTGTTGTCAGGTCATTAAAGATGGCATTTTTGGGAATTAATATTGATTTACTCTTAGGGTTTTTGCATCGGAAATAAACACATTTATTCTGAAACCAGTTGTTGATATAAATAAGAATATGTGGTATGAGTGCCAATTAGACAACTCTCCATCCAAGTCACAATGTATAAAAAGTTAACAATTATAGGTCAAAGTAAGGCCTTCAACAAGGAGCATTGGCTCACACCGAACAGCAAGCTATAAAAGGCCCAAAAATGACAGTGTAAAACAATTCAAACAGAAAAATCAACGGCC